TTGCCATGCCTTCTCCTCAGGTGGCTGAGGCCAACTGGAAGGAAGGGGTGCCGGGGAATATTTTGGAGCTCCAGGTTTGATGGCTAGGCTGGGTTTCCCATGTTACCTAGCGGCCAGGGGCTATGCTTCCAAACTAGAAGGGTCTCTCCCGAGGGTGCCACCAGTTGTCTGTCTCTGGGACAAAGTTTCTGAATAAACAATTAATACTTAATGACACTGTCAAGCAACACCTGCCAAGCAACTGGCTGAGCAGTGTGGATAAAAATGTCTCCAATAACCATATTATAAAATGGCTAATATTTAAAGGTTCAGAACACTTAAGATAGCAACTCTGTTATCACCAGTACTTTGTAGTTTTCAGTCAACTCACCCAAGTATAACCGAACTGCTTCCAGAATTGCCATCAGAAAAAGCAGCGTCAGGTCGAGGAGCAGGTGGTTGCAAGGGTAGCTGAACACTTGACCTAAAGAACATGGCACAGACCAGACGCGAGTTACTGGAGGTGGCAGCGGCAACTCTTCAGCAAACCTTCCGTTCATGACTTACTTTTATAAATAATCATCAGGAGCGTGGCGAGGAAATACAGGGCGTAGTACGTCCCACTGAGGTAAAACAGCATTTGAAGAGGAACCGACGAGAGCTGGTAAGTGGTTAAGGATCCTCTAGCTCAGTGGGCTTGGGGGCCCCTACCCAGGTGGCCAAACAAGAGGGGCTGGTCTGCCATCTGCTCGGTAGCTGCAAACATGCAGATCCAGCTTAGGCTCCGGCAGATGGGCACGCACAGGTGGCCATGGAGACCTGGCCACCGGCTCCTGCCCATCTGGGGCTTCCATCTCGACCTTTGTTCCTGATGTGGTCATGTGAGCTGGCAGGGCCCCCAGGGGGCATGAGGGCGAGGCTGGGACCCTTCCTCCCATCCCCGACAGAGCAGGGTTTGAGTGACTGCAGGCAGGACTGGCAGGAGGACGGCTTCCACATGCCGGTGCTCCTGGGTGATGTCACCCTGACCGTGGTGGCCCCCATTATGAGTTAGAAAAAAATGACTTTCTCATTTCCTTCAGAAAAAATACATTTCCCTCTGTTTGGGGGCAGTTAAATACCCACTAGTGACTTCCTGAGCTCTGTACACACCACGTTTGTTTACACTAAAATGAGTCTATGGCCATCAAAAAATGACTTTCTCATTTCCTTCAGAAAAAATACATTTCCCTCTGTTTGGGGGCAGTTAAATACCCACGAGTGACTTCCTGAGCTCTGTACACACCACGTTTGTTTACACTAAAATGAGTCTATGGCCATCCAAAGTGAAGGGTTTTCATCTTGCTGCCTCGGTGACCGGCGGGCGGCAGGTGGAGCTCAGCGCTTAGCTAGTTCGGCAGCCTCCTGGGTGCGCCTGTGGCGGGAAGCGGCTGGGCAGGTGGGTGATGGAGCCTGCATGCCCCCCTGAGAGGAAGTTAAACCAACTCTCTAAATCTGTCAGGGACCACCCCTCCCTCTTAAAAGTGGAATTACTAATCAGAGCTATGGAAAAGGTAGGGGTGGGGTGTAAAGGGACAAAAGTGGCCCAGCGCTGACTGCCCTGGTCCAGCAACTTGGCCCTCTGAGGCCGTCTGGCGAGTGGGGGGTGCCGCAGAAGGATACCACCGTGGAGGGACCTCTCCCTGGAATGAGAAAGGGTCCATCAGTGAGGCTGAGTCCCACCAGGGTGCTTTCCCGAGCCCAGCTCCACCTTGGTAGGAACCATCTCTGTTTTATTCTCCTTTGATTTCACATTTACAGAAAACAGGGAACATTTATTGTGGGCCTGTGGCTATTACTACTGCTCCATCACCTCTATATCTGTCCCTTCGAGGAGGATATGACAATCTTCGCCTTTCAGACCTAGGCTGGAGACAGCGTGTGCCTGGGGCACAGCGGAGCTAGACTGAAGCTTGGTCTACTCCCAGGGCCAGATCCTACATGCTACATCTCAGAGACAGAAACGTCCCCAAAATGTAACCAAATGGCAACTTTTCTCGTCTTTTGTGGTTTCTGCATATTTACCAGACATATGTAGTTAGATAAAAATCTTTTCTGATTTGGGTTATAACATATCTTTTTTCATAAATAGACATCTGCTTTCCTCTGGCATTTTATTTATTGCCCCAAATATCACTCCAAGGGCCGGCCCGGTGGCACACTGGAGAGTGCGCCGCTTGGGAGTACGGTGGCGCTCCCGCCGAGGGCTCAGATCCCATGTCGAGACCGGT